CTCCAACGAGCTCCACTGCATGATCTGTCTCTGGCTCTTCTGGTTTCACACAGACGTTGCGGTCTCTTCTTCTCTGGCCCTCTGGTTTCACCAAAGCTCATCTCACCTTCCAGGCCATGCATGGTTCGTCTGTTCCAACTGCACACACAGGCTGTGTTCCTCCTCATGCGCGTGGATCTGCTTCTTCCTCTTCAGGCCACACCGCCGAACAGCGTACCAGCTTCGTCTGGTTGCAGATCTGTCAACAGCCGCTGTCCCCGCTGCTGTATCATCTCTCTCTAATCTGATCTGTTATGAGACTCCAACGTTGTTCAAGGTGGTGATAAAGGTAGATTTGAATAAATGGATATTAATCTAACCTATTGTAATATTGTTGTTTTTTATAGAAAAATAATAATTTTATTTTTTATCATTTAAATTGTTACATTTAAAGTATTTATAGAATTTCTATCATACTGATAGAGAAATTCTTACTCTATTATATTTATAATTATATCAAATTATTATTCTTATAGAATTTTAATTATATAATACCAAATAATTAAATAATAAAATATTAAAATATTGTAGTTAATATTCCCTCTCAAGTTGGTACAGGGATATCTCTCATACCCAATTTGTATATCAAACTTTGAAAAGTCATTTTGCAGTTTATTAATGCCAAAGGATGTAAAAAAAAGTGCTGCAAACTGGAATCAGATTTGTTAGGCAGCAGCTCGGATCGACTCAACCCAAAATGATTTGGCCGGGTTCAAAATGGCTCAACCCGACTCAAAATGGCTCGATCTAACATAAAACGACTTGAGTTCAAAACACCTCAGGTTCAGCTCTAAAACGGTCTGGGCTTGACTTTAAAACGACTCCGGCTCTACCGGAGTACCACACGAGTTCTCATGCGCTGACGAACGCCATGTCACCATACCATCATGTGCTGCCGCTGGAAATACCACCTCGCGCAACCACCATATTCTCACACGCTTCCACGCATCACTGCCGACCACCACTTGCTGCCAGCAAAAATCACCGAAAACCAAACAGAACACGCTGGTGGGTTCAGATCCGGCACGGATCTGGTGAGATTGCGCCGAAAATGCATTGATTCTGCCTTCGCACGAAGCGGCCGCCACTGTTGGGTCTTCTTCTCCGACAAGCTTCGCCACGTGATCTGTCTCCGGCTCTTCTGGTTTCGCACAGACCGTGCGGTCTCTTCTTCTCCGGCCCTCTGGTTTTGCCGAAGCTCGTCTCCCCTTCCAGACCGCGCATGGTTCGTCTTCTCCAACGGCCCGCACAGGCTGTCTTCCTCCTCACGCACGCAGATCTGCTTCTTCCTCTTCAGGCCGCGCCGATGAACATCGTATCAGTTTCGTCTGGTTGCAGATCTGTCAACAGTCACTGCCGTTTCATCTCTCTTTGATCTGATCTGTGATGAGACTCCGACGCTGTTTAGAGTGGTGATAAGGGTATATTTGAATTAATGGGTACTAATCCAGTCTATTGTATTGAGATAACCGAGAAGAAAATTTTACAATTAAAATTCTAAAATAATGTCATTTGACTTTGATATTATGTTGGGTCAGGCCATATAAGAAAATAATTTTACTTTTCACTTATTTAATTATTATATTTAAAGTATTTATACAATTTTTATTTTACTAATAAGTTAATTCTTATTTTATTAGATTTTTAATTTTATGAAATTATTATTTTTATAAAATTTTAATTATATAATATTAAATAATTAGATAATAAATTAAAATAATTAAC